ACAACAACATCAGACTAGAACTCATCAAACGCCTTGTCTGTTTCCTCCAGCTAGACTTTTAACCTGGAAACAACAGTCAACAACAATAGTAAATAACAACAACATTAAATAACAACAGTAAACAACAACATCAGACTAGAACTCATCAAACGCCTTGTCTGTTTCCTGGAAACATCAACACATTTGTAGTAAACATCAACAGTAAAAATAACAAAAGTACACATTAACAACAAACATCACCTGTAAACAACAACAAGTTAGAGTAAACAAGAGCAAATAACTTGCTTCAGATTTCTCCTTGTTTGTACTATTTTGCCTATGAAATACCCAGTAAAACTAGAAATGGAAACTCAGATGTTTTATTGCTCAGTAAACGTGCTCAGAACACATTTGCGGGAATTCGGTGTCTGTAGCTGTGTTTGTGAACAAGGTCATGATGTAATTTCCTGTCTCTGTCAAATCACAAAATTCAGTCAGGCAAGTAACAAAGCTTGAGCAGATTAATTCAGTTTTCAGACGCACAAGTCCTGAAGGGAAGTTCAGGTTATTTTTATTTCTCTCCTTACAGCCTGGGGCTGAGTTGTGAGGAGTTTGAAATTGGTGAGACTGAATCTGAAGGGTCTGGAGGGGCTGCCATTCAGCGCTAACGATACAGAGTCTTGTTTGCTGGGAAAGTTCAGGTCAGACTGACTGAAAATTGATTCCATCGCAGTTTACGGCAGAAAATTACATTCGGCACCACCAAAGGGAACATTTTGGCCTGACCTCTCACGACCTCTGCTGACCTCTCGTGACCCCCGAGGGAAAATGGTTGCTGGATGGGAAGATTTCATTTCTGCAGTTATTGCCACTTCCCGCTGAATGGGCCCAGGGATGATATAACTGTTACAGTTTCACAAACTGCAAACCGTCTATAGTTTCCAACTGTTATGTCAGAAAAGATATCCTCTGCAACAGGCAAAATTCTAACACAACGTTGACCAAAAGTCCACTGAAAACCATGAAAATGCAGGGTTCTGTGCAGGCACAGTACGTTCTGCTGACAATGCTGAGCTGACAAGACACTGGGGTCTGTCTCCTTTATTCACATGTAATACTCAGCAACATAAAGTTGACTTCAAGGTGATAGTCATACAATACTTCCCGAAAAACATGTTGGGACAGTTCATCCTTACTTCAGGACAATTGAAATTTATTTTTGGCACAGTGCTGGGACAATAGGAGGGGCATGCGGAGCTGAGTGAGTGAGAGTGAGTGAGCTGGGACATTAGGAAGAAAAGGCCTGATGTGATATGTGTGGGGCTATATGTTAATCTGTGGACAGCTCTCTGTTGTGCTCTAAAGCATACAGTAACAGCTCTGTTCTGGTTAGTGAGGATCTCTCGTTACTCATGACATAAAGAAATTACAGAATCCAATTCAAAAGTAATACCAGGGAAACTGCATGTAATTTCGAGAACAATCCACGAAGTAAAACCTAGTCAGATTAACATCCTGGTTTTCAGAAGCTCGCCTGCAGATTTGTCTGTGTAGGTTTTGAAGACCGATGCCCTGATATTTTTCCATGTGGTTTTTAAGGCCGCTGCCCTGAGATTTTTCCATGTGCCGTGAGATTTTATGTTTGGAGACCTCGATAGCTGCAATTGGAAACTGCTGCAGC